TATCTTGAAATCTTTAAGGCTGATTCATGAGCTTAAACTCTTTAGTTTAAATGAGAGTGTATGGTGGGGGCTATTACTTTACATTTATTGACATGCAAAGTGTCTTGAATTTTGTTGAGGGGGAGAGAGGAGTTGGTGACTTGGTGAGCAAGCCCATTTTCATTACTTTAATTGTGCGATTTATTAGGATTTTAAGCTTTTTATAAATGTTTTAGTGTTATAGGACAGAATTAAAAGGATTTAGAATAAAAGGAGTTTAACAAAAGGACTTTGCAACAGGATTGCAATAGTTTTTATATTTGATGGATTTGGCTAACCGCTTTTCATTTCAATCATCATGCTACATTCTGTTAAATGCTGTAGAACAGGTGTGTGTAACGTCATTCTCTCTATTGTACATGCAAATAAACACAATTTTATATATAAAAAGTTAATCCTCCACAATTTGGAGGATTACATTATGGAGGGTGATGACTCCATTAGGCATCATGGAGAGTACTTGCTATTTATATTGCAAGAAAAATCAGGTTAATAGCTACAGTGTTCATGAGATTGTAGAATTTTTATATAGACACTTTAAAAAACAATTGTATCTATTCAAACTATCCACAATGAAACTATTTAAGGCAGAGTTAAGGTTTTGTTACATGGTTTTCCAACTTTGAAAAAATGTACTGTACAGCATGCCTCAAAGAAATTTGGATGATTTGTTATGATTTGTTTACTTATTGCCTTTACTCGTAGAATGTGTGCTTTTGGCTTTATGTTCTTAAATGAGGGCATTATTTTGTAGTTTAAATTTTTTGCTTGGTTACCTTTTCTGAATATCCATGAAGAGTATTAATCTTTAGTAAGTGTCAGGTGACCGACCTACAAGGTAAGGTCGGTAGGACTGATGCACCCTAGTAGGTCAGTGGAAACCAGTGGAATTCTTCAATTCAGGTTTAAGAAACGCAAAAACAATCAAACCATTCTTGTCAGTATTATTTGCATTTTAAAGACATGATGTTTCATTTATCAGAATATCGAATTGGTGTGTATACTGCAGGTATAAACCATAAAGATCTTGTCAAAACACCTGGAAGCAGAGGGAAAATAGGTATTGTTAAAAGTGAAGGTGAAATATGTAGGGGTGAAGGATTGGCCTTGCATAGATGAAGTTCAGTTATAATTCATTTGAAACATAAATATTATGGGCTTTGGACCAGTTAATTTTTAACTTGTGCTTCGTTTGAAAGTCATATTGTTAATTGTGAACTCGGATTGATTTGTTTAGCAAGGGTAAAAGCACACAATCCATAGTAAATTAATGTTTAGTGAAGAGTAGACACTGTTATATGCTTCTCAAAATTTAACATAGTTGTGGAGAACTTTATTCATCAACACTTGTTTATACTTTTTATCTTTATCCTATGTAGGTGTAATAGTACAGTCTATCAATGGGTCGTAGAACTTGTCTTAACTTATTTAGTATGATTATTGTAATCACAATTTAAAAGTATATTATGTCAGATCACAATCTAAATGTGTAGCCATTAACCTGTCCTCCTCTGGATTAAACCTCCTTACTTTTGGAGGGACTCATTAACATGGATTATTATTATGTTTACCACCCAGCCAAGAAGTGATACATTGTTACGAGTGCAAAAGTCCCCTGGCAACCTCTCCCAAATATTGTCCCCATCCTAAACCCCAAAGAGGTGTATGCCTATCCTGAAATGGGTATTTATCTTTATGTGTTTATGTCTTTAGTACTTAATGTAACTGAATATCTGTCCCCATGTCTAACTACACACCCACATAGGCACACATGTATGCAAGCACACAACTTATTTGTTTGTACCTTTTTCAAAATTGTGGTGAAAATCACATAATATAAAATTCACCATCTTTAAATTGTTAAAAACTTTTAATTCCACAGTTTGGCAGTGTTAAGTCCATAGTTTGCATTAGGGTTCCCTACTGGTGGCATACATCGTGCTGGTTTTGACAAATGTGTAAGGAAATGTACCCACTGTTGTAGTATCATACAGAATAGTTTACCTCTCCTCTACAACCTCTCTGCTCTACCTATTTATGTCTCCTTCCTTCTTAACACGTTTAGCTTAACACTGCACATTGGGGTTAGCCTGTTGAATTTATTGTGCTAGACCCTCAAGGCGCTCATAACTCATATTTGTTTATATTTGATTCATATTCATTGACTCATATTTGATTCTTTCCTCCTCTTTATTTTTCTCTGTTCATTTTGGAATTCCTCACTATGTTGGGACTGTCCTTTAATATTTCTCTTGGATATGTGTTTGTGTGTATAAATTAATGCCATTTTCCTCTTTTTTTTGTGGTTTTTTGCTCTATTCTTTAGGAAGTTTCCTCTGACCCTTGCTTTGAGTTTTTAAATAATGCCCACCTTGCTTTTAATTTCCCAGAGCGCTCCTTTATTCTCTGTGTCAATTTTTCTTTGCATTCTTACTGTTTCACGAATGGTCATCTCATATTCTTAAAATTATTGATGACAGTTTAAAATTTTTTGATATTTTCTTCCTGTATAGAATTAGTCACTTTTCCAGGTGATTGTTAATCTTTGGTTGCCTGGATCTATTTGTAAGCTGCAAACTAAAAAGCTGATTGAAAGCACTGTGTGTTTGTCAGCTTTTAACCTTTTGAGGGTGCTTTGGTTGTGCCATGTTTTGGAGCCCTCTGACAGTATCTTTTAGTTTTTCTTTATGGACTGATTTACTAAGTTCTGCAGAGAAGACTTACAAGCAAAGTGATTTATAAGCTCCTAACTTTACAAGAACAAAGTTCTTGCGTTAGCGTCCGGACCCACAATTCGGGGAGGGAGACGGATGCTGAGGAAGGGCTGCTTCCATGTATTAATGCTTCACTGAATTCCGTCTCCCTGCAACTCCCCACCCACCGTTTAAAAATCTGTATTCACCTGTGCATGGTGTCCCCCTGTCTTACCCTCTGTAGAGAATAGCCTTTCAGTCTTCTGGGAATAGGGAGGGTGAGTTGCCTAGCAGAGTAAAGGTCTTAGGACCTTAGTGTTTTTCACATAACCTATACCGTGTCCTCTTCATTTTATCTTCATTGCCCTGCACAGTCCATCTCAGGTGTACCTGGTGTTATCAGGTGTGAAATAGTAGTTTATGTCTCAGGTTTTAGTTTTCCCAGCTCTGGCTTGAAATTTTACTTAGGGCTGCTAAGTTAGTCTTCACTCAGTTATTTCCCAAACTTGATTATTTTTACTGTATATTTTAAAATCATATTTGATTTAATACTGGAATTTATTGGAATTTTCAGAAAAAATAAAGTGAAATACACGTGTAGTCTCCTAGCTTATCTGAGGTTGAAATACCACTTCTGCCATTTATTTGTCTCTTTATTTAAAAACAGTAAAATTTGGAGGGGAATTAATATATTCAAGTGGTTTGAAAACTGAAAAGTATAAAATAGACGTACAGTGAAAACGGTCCTCCCATTGTTGTTCCTTGTCTTCCACTTTTCCCATTCTCCCTCTCATTTAGGTAAGATTTTTTAATGTATCCTTGCAGTGAGTGAGTGTGTGTGTGTGTGTGTGTGTGTGTCTGTGTGTGTATGTGTGTGTCTTTCTCTTGGTTAAAGAAAAGATGGGTCATTATTTTTTATCTTCCTGTTTTATATAGTCTCCTTTTTCTGTTTACTGTTTTGGATCCCATTCCCTGTCTTCATAGAGCACTTCTTCATTTTTTTACAGTTGTAGGAAATACTCCTTTGTCCATTCGGATTCTATTAGTCTTCTGGGGTTATAAACAGTACTATCATGCATAATTTTATATAACAGTTATTTTCATCATGGCTGAATATACGTGTAGAGTGAAATCTTAGCAGTGCTGTTTCTCTATCAAAGGGTATGAACATTTATAATTTTGATGGCTATGGGCAGAGTTTTACAGAAATTTTTGAGAAGCTCTTAGGTAAAGGTCAATGTTTATCAATACAGTTAAAAAATTTGAAATAGAAAATTTCTACATTCAAAAGCAATGAAAATACTGTAAATATCTCTAAGAACCCATCATTTTTTGGCCAGTCATGTTTCATTTACTTCTGAAAGATTAAAAAAAATCTTAAAAATATAACAAATATTTTTATCACTTCTTAAAAATTAGAAAGTTTCAATACAGATTTTCAAAATAGTTTTAAGTGGAAATTTAACATTTTTTTTTAATGGTTCAGAGCTTTTTGTGTTTTCTGATTTTACTTTTCTATCTGTTGCTGTTTTTATATTAGTTTCATATCCAGTAATACTGTTGAGTTCTTTTATGATAATTATCCTGACTAGGACTTTCAGCATAGGGTTAGATAAGAGCAGTTAGACTGGGCATCCTTTTGTTATTACTGGTTTTAATGAGCGTGCTCTGAAGCATTACCTATAATATTTATTGTAGGTCTTTTTTAGGTGATCATTATTGAGTTAAGAAAAGTTATTTTTGTTTTCTTTTGTTCTTATGACTAGGTATAGAATTTTATGAATATTTTTTGCATCTGCTGAAATGTTAATATTGTGAATAACATTAATAGGTTTCATAATGTGAAGTTATAACTTGCTTGGGTAAATCCATCTTGGTTATAAGATTTAATTTTTTTCAAATACATTGCCATTTTAATTTTTTAAAGGATTTTTACATTTATATATATAGAAAATTACCTCTAATTAAAGTTTTTGTTGTTGTTGTGATTTCCCTTTAGTTTTGACATCAAGATCATACTAGTTTTAGGTAATTGGTACAATTGGGGGTCATTTTCTGATCTCATGGAGAAAGTGTATAAAATTGAAGTTGCCAATTAAAATAAAGATTTAGAATGTTGATTTCAATTTTAAAAACAGATTAATACTAATATTTATATTGTTTTGGCATCTCTTTAGCTGTAAACATTTTGAGAATGAAATTAATGGGAAATATGCAAGAATAGTTCTCAAAGTTTTATATTACATTTTATTTTATGTTCTTTATTAGGTGCTCAAAAGTGTGACAACTTTGCTGAAAAAAGGCCCCTCCTTGGTGTTTGTAAGAGCACTGGATCTTCTGGGTAAGGAAATTTAAAAAAAAAGTTCTTTGAGCCACCATTAAAATTTTGTATTATTTCAGAAGGGGAACTTTGATGCCTTAAAGTCTTTGTTTACCTTAAGACTATGCTCTTATAAGAGAGAACGGAAGGGAAGTAATAACATATTTTGGGTTTTTGTCACGGAGGCCTTGTTTCTACTTTTCTTCTCACTGTTTCTCATATGTGGAATGATAGCAGGAGACAAAAGAAACTCAGTGGTGTATCAGAATTCAGTCTTGAAATAAAAGTTTAGCATAATTAAGAGTATTTTTTAGTTTATGTGTTTTTTGATAGTTTTAATTTTCATGGCCATCTACTGTCAGTTAGAAGTTACTATTAGATGATAATCATCATCTTCTTCATCATTAACTATCACATTTATTGTTGTAGCACGTGCCTGACACAGCTTTAAAGGCATTGCATGAATTTTCTCTATTATTTCTTAAAGCAACACGATGGAATAGATACCATTCCTATTCCTGTTTTACAGTTTTGAAAAAGTGAGGCACTGAATTCACACAGTGGATATGTGGATACAAACCCAAGATGGCATATTCTTAATTTCATGCTGGTTGCGTTTGGGACAATAAGAGGGCTATGAACTAAGATGATTAAATGGTATTATTCATGAATTCAGATTTTTTACCTACTTTCTTCATGCATTAAATGGGAACACTATTCTTTCTTCTCAGAGGCTTATCGTGATTTAGTTATCAGGTTTACAGTGACCTTTTTACTGTTCAGTTCCAATTAAGAACAGTCTTCAGCTGCTGGTAAAGTTACAATGGCCTGTACGAACCATGTGATCGAAGTTTGAGGGTCGGCAGTCCAGAGCTAGTGAAATGTTTCTGTGATATGTCATTAATGACCTAGATTCTCTCTAGCTGTGACATCTTTTAGACTATGACCCGTTCCTTAAGGATCTCACGATGGCTGCCATCTTTTCAGTTAGTGCATCTCAGAGACTTTAGGAAGAGGATCAAAATGAATATTAGGCTTGGCAACCAATAGTTCCTGCCATGTGTTTTCAGCCCATAGTGTGCTCTAGGTCACGGATGCAGTGGAGAAGGGAAGAATGTGCAAATGGTATAGCACGATTAGATCTTGGGGTCTCTTTCTTTGTTGTTGGGGGACGTAATTAGGCTTATTTATTTGTCTTAATGGAGGTACTAGGGATTGAACCCAGTACCTTGTGCATACTAGGCGTGTACTCTACCACTGAGTTTTACCCTCCCCACTTTGTGGTCTTAATTGTTTTCTAGGGAGATGGTTCGATTACGTGGGCTACAAGGCACTTTTCTTCCAATGTAAATTTTTGGAAGTAGGCAAAAATTTTCCGTGTACTCAACCATTATACCAGGTATGGGGTAAGGATACAGAAACGTGAAAACCTAATTCCTTGTCCCAAAGACTCAAGGATGTTGCTGAAAACAAAAACATAGCACAGAGAAAATGATTGTGAAATAATGATGTGTAATAGGAATTCAGAGAAAGCAGAGATCAGTGTGCATGGATTAATGGGAGAAGGCCTCATGAGGAAGGCACAGCGTATGCTGGATCTAAAGGAGTGGACAGTTTGGCAGTACATGTAGAAGAGTAGGGACTTAGATTGTAAAGCTTCAGCAGTAGAACAGAAAGTGGTATAAATAGGAAAGATGGAGGATTGTGACTTGGAACTCAGGTCATCTGCAAAACAGGTAACAACAACCACTTCAGTGCTCTGGAACTCAACCAGAACCTTCCAACAGTGTGAAAAGTTTCTATGTTTGAGAAACTGGTAAATATTAAGCAGTGACAATGGGAATTTGTGGCATTCATGCCTGGGGCTGCTCCCATCACACTGCACCCTTTCTCCTTCCAGCTTGGTTTATTCTTCCAGAGTGCCCAGGGCATTGTCCATGGAAGTTATGGTCTTGGGGGCATATGAGTTGTGAGGGCCAGTGGCTCTTTTACCTAAAGTCACGGTTAGCTGAGGAGCCATGAAAGCATCCAGGGGAAGCTAAAATCTGGTGGCTGAAAATATTCTGCCTGTTGAATGGGCTCCCCTGCCCACACACAGATCCTTTTGGAGAGAATGACAACCTTTATTAACTCAGGGTGTTTGAGCATATCTCTTTCGAATCGTTGACTAAAAACTAAGCTATAAAGACACAGGGGGCAACCCCCAGGAAATCAGGCTTTAAAATGAAAAGAAGACTTAAAGAAGAGTAGAGGCATTAGTAATTGCACATTGTGGAGGAAGATGGATTTCCAGAATAGTACCATATTATGTAACACATCTAGCTTTCAACAGAAAATTATGACACATGCCACGAAACAGGAAAGTGTGGTATATTGAGAAAAGAAAGTGGATGATGCAAACTGTTTCTGATTGTTTCCAATGTTAAATTTTGCAGACAAGCTTTTAAAGCAGCTGTTAGAAATATGTTCAAAGAACTAGATGAACCATGTTTCTGGAATTAAAGGATAGTATAGTAACAGTGACTCAACAAATACAGGATCGCAGTAAGAATTTAGAAATTACAGAAAAACCAAAGGAAAATTCTGGAGTTGAAGAGATACAAAAGGTGAAGTAATAAACTTGCTGCAGGAACACAACACAATATTCAAGTCAGCACAAGGATCAGGGAGGGACTGATGTGTTGACAAGGAGCCGAAAAGGAAGGGGAACCACAGACAGGAGGGGAAGCTACTGTGGTAGAAGGAAACTTTGTTGACTTCACTTTTCCTGGTGTTTTCCTGGTGCCGCTGTAATTCAGGTGCAACTGCTGTGTTTGGTTTGCAGTTTTTCAAAGATTTTCCTTTCCTTGTGGAAATAATTTTAATTTTTATAGAATTCGTTTATTGAGGTATCACTTTATCAAAAAATAAGACAAAAAAAGGAAGGATGAGGTGGTTACATATAGTTGGCGATGAGATCACTGATTGAAGGATGGAAATGATGGTGTGTGGGTTATGTTAGTTAGGGTTCCCCAGACAGAACCAGTAGGATATGGGATGTATGTGTATGAGGAAGAGGGGGCAGTGGGAGATTGGTCTTAAGAAATTGGCTCATGTGATTGGGAAAGCTGCAAATCCAAAATCTGGAGACTGAGGGAAGATTTGCAGCTTAAGTCCAAAGACAGAATTCTGTCTTCCTCCAAGGAAGTCAGCTTTTAAATTCTGTTAAAGCTTTCAACTGATTGGATGAGTCCCACTCATTGTGGAGCATAATCTGCTTTACTACTGATTTAAATGTTAATCGTATTTTAAAAAATGCCTTCACAGAAACATCTAGAATAATATTTGACCAAATCTGGTTATTGTGGCCCAGCTAAGTTGACACATAAAATTAATCACCGCAGGGGTGATGAATATAGTCTTGATTAAAATAGTATTTTCCTATTTGAAATAATCTCTTGTAGGTATTTGTCTCCCCTCACGCCCAACCCATTTCTGCTCCTTAATTTATTTCATAGTAAGGGGGTCATTCTGGCAGGAGACTGCTTTATGTCTGTATTATTTGCTGGGTTGTTTTATGAATGTTTTTTGATAGATAAATGCAAAGAAACTTTTGAATTAAGTGCATAAGCCATCTCATGAGCTGTAAATTCTAAGGTGATGTATCCTGGTATTATTGTATACAAGTGCTCCCTTCCCTGCATGTCTTTTTTTTTTTTTTTAAATTTTTTCCTCTCTTGTTTATACCTTTCTTTCTAATGTAAGAGGCTGGTAGGAAATACTCATTTTGTTTTCACTTATTTATTTGCTGATCTGATTAGAATAAAGCAAACTATTGTGTGTATCATCTTTGTCAAAATGTTTACAATCTCAAGAAGGACATTTTTGTAGAGGATTGTGTTCTGTTTTTTTAAGTGTTACATTACAGTCGTTGGTGAAGAGAATTTTCTCCCTAATCTGAGCAAGTGATTTGTATATGAGCATATATATATCTTAAGTGTTATTCTATGTGTTTCCACTAGGTTAGCAGAAAGTAATACTGAATAGACACTTTTTAGTAACCCCAAATTTGACTATACTAACAGAGAAATTTAAGTTATCAGTGAATTCTTTTAGAATCTGTTTCCCAGATTTTGGGATTAAGAAAAAGTTACAACCCACATTTTTAATGAGATAAATGCTTGTTGTGTATCATATTATAGCACCAGGGAATGGAAGGCAAATGTTAAATGCCTGTGTCTGTTAAATGTTTCCTCCGGCGTAACATCCTTTAATCTTACAACCCTGTGAAGGATCCTCATTTTATAAAGGAGGAGACTGAAGCTGAGGGAGGTTCACTCACAGTAGTGGAACTTTGCCTTGTTTGCCAAGTTTGTAGAAGGAATGGGTTTTGTATTCAGGGTGTCCTATACCTCAGGTTTATGCATTTATACTTTTCTGTTTTCTAACCAGTTATTTTCAGATAAGTGGAGTGGTTGTGTTTAAGCAGGTGACTTTTTAGGAGTGGCATATACTTTGGTTGTTGTTTCTACTTTTATTGTTATATTAGTGTGATGCATATTCCTTTGTAGCTACTTAGTTGGAATTTTTTAAAGTGTAAAGGGACCTCCTTGGTTAATTTTTTCCTTTATTTTAGCACATTGTTAGTAAATGCAAAGGGGATCTCCTTTATACTATAGCAGTAATATTCAATAAACAGGGCTACTGAAAAATGGAAATAGCTAATTTAAGAAACATTCTTATTTTAAGACATGCAGCGCAACTTACGTCTAATGTGAAGGTCCCCTCCCCTGCTTCCAATTTTTAAATAAAGTAACAAAAAGTGAGAGGCACTTGAAGAAGTAGAGGATATGAGCGCATCCAAGTAGCCTGAATTGAAGAGTCTCAAGTTCATGGACGTAAAGGAAGGAACCTTCCTTTTGAGGGAGGAAATGGAAAAAACTGAAATAATGGAAAGAGTAGAAAAGTAATTAAAAGAGACGTGCCTGAGTCAGATGGCGATGGAGCATTTATGTAGTGGCTGCTTAGAGATATTGTCATCA